CTTCGCTCATTGGAATGGTGCATATCCGCGCGCATGCATGCACACATATGCAAGTACACACGCGCAAGCACACATAAAAACTCACGCATGCACACATAAAAACTCATGCATGCAAACGCATAAAAACTCAAGCATGTACACATACACACACACTCGCACATACGCACACTTGAAAACACACAGACACACAAAAACATATTCATAGACACACACACATACACACCTCTCTGTGTTTGTGTTTTTTGTATGTATGTGTGCAGGTATGTGTGCAGATATGTGTGGATACATATATCCATGGGAAATAAACACATACGTATGTACATCTATCCAAACGTACAAAGCAGTTACGAAATCCAGAAAGGAATCAACATAACCCTAGAAAAGCATAAAAAAAAAAAAATATTTAGCCTGTCGCATCGTCACGCGATGGTTAATCACGCTCATTAGATCATAACTCACCCTAGCTATTATTACGTAATGATAATGTACCGGGTACGAAAAACGCTTTTTTCTTCTTCTTGTTCTTCTTCTTCTTCTTTTCTTTTGAGAAGAAACTTTGAACCAACCAAAAGAAACCCCGACAGGGAATTACTGTAATTCTCTCTCTATTTTTTTTCTTTCCTTATTTCTTTTTTATATCACGTCAAATATTGTCATAGAGCTTGATGATTTGTTTGTTTGAGATTTTGTTAGCCTGTTTATTAAATATTGTTAGTTTTTTTTTACATGTTTATTACACACTTTGTTAGACTTTTTGGACATGTGTTTATTAGACACTTTGTTTTTTTTTTTACGTGTTTATTAGACACTTTGTTATTATTATTATTATTATTTTTTTTTTAAAGACATGTGTTAATTAGACATTTTGTTGTTTTTTTAAAGGCATGTGTTTGATAGAGAGTTCTTGTTTTCTAGAGAGATGTTTGTTTAAACGGCAGGTGGCCAGAGACGCTTTTTTTACTTTATTTTGAAAGGAAGGAAGTAGGGGGGGGGGGCCAGGCAAGGTCATTAAAAAGTAAGGTTAAGAGCTTATGTTATTATTCTGTGGTTCACTTTCGTTTTCTTCTTTTATTTTCTTTTTCTTGGTGCTAATATTCGATTATTGTTCCTATTGCAAGATGTTTTCGTTTGTTTTGTATTATTATTATTACTCTGATTGAATTATTTCTTTCTCTTTTATCTGTTCCTTTATTTTCTTCTTTCATTATTCCGTTCGTCTCTCCCATATTCTTTTATTTGTCTTTTTATTGACGTTTATTTTTTCTTGTTTCCCATGGTCATTTTCTTTCTCTTATTTCCCCCCTATCCTTGTTTCCTTCTTGTTTTTTTTTTCTCTCTCTCTCTCTTTCCTTTATTGCTACGTAATCCGTCTCTCACTGTCGTTCCTTTATTCCCTAAATCTTTTCTTTTCTTCTTATTTTGCTTCCTTCCTTCTCTTTAACTGGTTTTGTTCTTTCTTCATTTTCGTTTTATCTTTCCCTTCTTCTCTTTTCTTTCTTTTCTCATTCTCAACTCACATTCGTCTTCTTCCCATATCCTTCTCCCCTTGTTCTTAGTTATTATTTCTCTTGATTTTCCTTTGTCTTTCATTTTCTCCTCTTCCCTTCCTTTCTTTTACTTTCGTTCCTTTCTTCCTCTAATCCTTTCTCTTCATACCCTTTATTCTCCTTCTGTTCCTAATTCTTGCTTCTTCTCTTTTTTAAATCTCTTCTTTATCACTTCCTTCTTCTCATTCATTCCTTTCATCTCGTTTATTCCAAGTTTATTCCAATTCTCTCCTGTTCCCTTCCCATATTCCCATCCATCTCTTATTCTCATTCTCACCATCCTTGATCTTTATTGCATCCTCCTCTTCTTCCCTCATTCTTCTCTCCTTCCTCCCTTCCATTCTACCCTAAAATTCTGAATGACGTAACTACCCGCACTAACCTTCAAACACCTATTACATCATAAACGCCAGGACGATAATATTTCATAGCCAGAATGTTCAGCGTGAATCGTGTTACTTTTACCCTATAATACGAGGTTTAAATCCTGTTAGTTATTGTAGTGGATTTTTTACATGAAATAGACGTTATATTTGAAAGGCTAGTGCCAGCGAAAAGGGAGAAGTAAATGGAAAGAAGGAATAGAGAAAGAGAGGAAGGAGTTAAAGGGAGGGGGAGTGAGAATAGAGAGAGGGACAGGGTGGGGGAGGGAGAGTCACGGCAGACACACACACACAGACAGACTTAAGACAGCAAGACAAACAGAGAGAGAGAGAGAGAGAGAGAGAGAGAGAGAGAGAGAGAGAGAGAGAGAGAGAGAGAGAGAGAGAGAGAGTGTATGTGTGTGTGTGTGTGTGTGTGTGTGTGTGTGTGTGTGTGTGTGTGTCCGTGCTTGAGTGCGTGCGTGCGTATTTGCGTGCATACCTATGTGTGTGTGCAGCCAGATATATTAAACTTTATACGAACTGCCATTACCCTCGCAAACCCTCCTCCTCACGGCCCTTTTCCACTCTATGTATGCATGTCGGACTTTAATATGATGCTTCATCCTTGAGAACCAACCCTTCCATGAGGTAATATTCTCTCTTTATCAACGTTCTCCTCATCCTGTTTTCCATAAGTCAGGATAAGTGACATTGACACTCTCTCATGGCACCCTCGCATGGCACCGAGTTCCATCAGCATGGATAAAACTGATTAATATTTCCAGGTTATATATTGGAGATAAAATTGCAATGGAGAGAAGGCGAGGAAGGTGTGGAATAGCATGATGATGTAAAAATAAATCGACTTTGATGAGACGAATCCTCACTTTTTTTTCTCTCCTTCTCTCTCTCTCTCTCTCTCTCTCTCTCTCTCTCTCTCTCTCTCTCTCTCTCTCTCTCTCTCTCCTCTCTCTCTCTCTCTATA